CAAGAGGCACATGGCAGCATGGCAAGAGGCACATGGCAGCACGGCAAGAGGCACATGGCAGCATGGCAAGAGGCACATGGCAGCACGGCAAGAGGCACATGGCAGCACGGCAAGAGGCACATGGCAGCATGGCAAGAGGCACATGGCAGCATGGCAAGAGGCACATGACAGCATGGCAAGAGGCACATGGCAGCATGGCAAGAGGCACATGGCAGCACTGCATGGCTGCCATGGCAGCACAGCACTGCATGGTTGGAACTTAAAAACAAAAACAAGCACGGCAGGGAACAACATACTGGCGAGTCGGCTGTCGAGGTCGACGCCAGAATGGAGGTTCTTGAAGAGGTATGGCAGGAGGCACATTGCAGCATGGGGTGGGGCCACGTACTAGCAGCATACAAAAATGGCAAGGGGGGACATACTAGCAAGTCGGCTGTCGAGGTCGATGCCGAAGTTGAGGTTCTTGAAGAGCAGAGGCCCGCCCGGGTAGCCAAAGTTCACGTCGCTGCAGACAGGTACGGAACAGGAGGTGGAACACAGGGGTGATTGACTCACAGAGATAGAGGGTCGACTCGCAAAGATACAGCTTCGACTCACAGAGATAGAGCGTCGACTCACAGAGATAGCGTCGACTAGCAGAGATAGAGCGTCGACTCGCAGAGATAGAGCGTCGACTCGCAGAGATAGAGCGTCGACTCGCAGAGATAGAGCGTCGACTCGCAGAGATAGAGCGTCGACTCACAGAGACAGAGCGCCGACTCACAGAGACAGAGCGTCGACTCACAGAGACAGAGCGCCGACTCACAGAGACAGAGCGCCGACTCACAGAGACAGAGCGTCGACTCCCAGAGATAGAGCGTCGACTCGCAGAGATAGAGCGTCGACTCGCAGAGATAGAGCGTCGAATCGCAGAGATAGAGCGTCGACTCGCAGAGATAGAGTGTCGACTCACAGAGACAGAGCGTCGACTCACAGAGATAGAGCGTCGACTCAGAGACAGAGCGTCGACTCACAGAGATAGAGCGTCGACTCACAGAGATAGAGCAACTCACAGAGATAGAGCGTCGACTGGTGAAAAAGAGGTAACTATTATAGACACAACAGACATCCACCTTTACTGAATCGATGTCAGCATGCGGGCATGCGAATTGTGGGTCTGTGAAAGATGAGCAATTCGTCAGCATTGTAACACAACCCATGGCATTCCCCATTGAGTACAGTGCAAGCACGTGCCACTGAGAGTGCACTGACTCTGCTCATATTACACCAGCAACCGGATGCCACAATGCCAAGGACAGAGCTATGGGCAATGTGAGTGCCACAGTGCCACTCACGTGTAGCTGATGAGGGGCACATGTGGCCCATCCTCAGCCTAGCGTTGAGTCGCCTCAACAGTAGACCTACGCCACTCCCATGCAGCCAACATTGGTGCAAGTCACATGCGGCCAGCACCACCGGTGGCGGGACTACTCACGTGAAGCTGATGATGGGGGCCTGAGGCCGGTCCTCTGGCGTGGGGAACTCAAAGCGGTACCTGTGAATAGAGTAGGGGGTTGAGAGGGGTGGGTTGGGATGGGGTGGGATGTGGTGGGGTGGGATGGGGTCGAGTGGGGCGGGGACGAATGGGATGGGGTGGGGTTGGGAGGAGTGGGGTGTCAAAACAGCAGGTTGGCGGGCCTACTAGCAACAACAGGTTCAGAGGGCCTGAGCGCTTGGCTCCAGTCAGCAGGTTAAAACAATGGCAGCAGCAACAAGCAGTGCACGAGATGAGGTGCGTGCAATGTGTATAATAACTCTGTTTGCAAATACAGTAAGGAGGTGGGATGGGGTGGAATTGTGGTGGTGGCGCGAGTAACGACGGCATGGCGACAAGTGTAGAGCAGCAGACGTGGTAGTTACGCCACGTTCAGCGTGAGCTGAGGCAGGCGTGCGCAGAGAATGCGGCGCTGCTGCTCAGAGCACCCGCTCCCGCGTCTGCTGCTCTACACTTGTCGCCGTGCCGTCGTTACCCACACAACTACCAGCTCCACTCCACCACCACATCCGCGCACAGAGTGGGGCGGGTGAGATGTGAGGAAATTTGGGCAGGTTTACTAGCAGTAGCAGGTTCACGGCGCTTGGCACCAGCAGGGCTTAACAATGGCAGCAGTAACCCGCCCAAAGCACCCGCTCACTCTGCCCCCACTCACTGCCCGCCCGGCACTCACTCTCCACCCTCCACACCCCCCATCCACTCTGCCCCGCTCACTGTCCAACCCCCACTTCCAGCCCTCCACACCCCCCACTCACTCTGCCCCACTCACTGCCCACCCCCCACTCACCCCCAACCCTCCACGCCCCCCACTCACTCTGCCCCACTCACTGCCCACCCCCCACTCACTCCCAACCCTCCACGCCCCCCACTCACTCGGGATCTGCCACCACAGAATCCACAGTGCCGATTCTCTCCAGCGCCTGCGGAGAGCGAGGGGGGAGTGAAGTGAAGAGCACAGAGGGGGAGAAGGGCGCAGTGTTGGGCAGGAAAGGGAAGGAGGGGCAAAGAAGTTCAGAGGAGTAAGGCAGTTGAAGGGAGCGCGCAGAGGGTGGGAGCAATGTAGTCGGGGAGAGGGTAAGGGTGAAGAAAGCGGAGGTTGCATGTGGAAATTCACGGGAAAAGCGCAAGGGAAGGGGGGGCGGGTTGAGGGGGAGAAGACACGATCGCAGTGGAATCGAGAAGAAGTGGAATCAAAGTAAAATGGGTGCGTTGAAAAGGAGGGAGGTTGCACGGGAGAAGTTACAGGAAAAGGGCATGGGAAAGGGGGGCGGGTGGGGGGTGGAGAAGGCACGATGGCAGTGGAATTCAGGAAAGTTGAATAAGAGTGCGATGCGTGGGCGTGAGGATGAGAGGGGCAGAGAGGACATGGGGAGGGAAAAATGAGGTACCTTGATTCGCGACTGCACGAGGGACGCGCGCTTGGCATTGTAGCGGAACTTGTCAATGAAGGCCTGTGTTGGATGCACACACACACAGGTAGGGAGCGCACAGAGCGGAGCACACAGAGGGAGAGAGCACACACAGGGAGGGAGGCACACAGAGGGAGGGAGCACACAGAGGGAGGGAGCACACACAGGGAGGGAGGCACACAGAGGGAGGGAGCACACAGAGGGAGGGAGCACACAGAGGGTGGGAGCACACAGAGGGAGGGAACGCACACAGGGAGGGAGGCACACAGAGGGAGGGAGCACACAGAGGGAGGGAGGCACACAGAGGGATGGAGCACACAGAGGGATGGAGGCACGCGGAGGCAAGCACAAGGTGGGACACAGGATTAGTGGCAGGGAGAGAGGGGTAAAAGGCACAGCAGGGAACACACCATCGGTGGCAGACACGCATCAAAAGAGGATGCAGGAAGAGGGTGCACAATCGGAATGTGTTTAGATAGGAACAAATTCAACTGGGCTGCAGTAGAGGATGCAGGACAAGGAAGCATGCAAAGATGGCAATGAATAGCACCACATGCCACATGGTACGACCCTGCATGGCATGGCATGGCATGGCATGGCATGGCACGCGGTTGCACAGCACACAAGGAGATGTGCGTTTGCACCTGGATGTGGGCGCGCTTGGCATCATTGGCCTCGGCCGCCTTGTTCTGGTTGCGGATGCGCTCGTTGGCATGGCATGGCATGGCATGCAATGGGTGCCGCAGAGAATGCAAGGAGCATGACGTGCAAGGGGCATGGCACGGCATGGTATGGCAAGGAGCTCTTACCTGGATGTGGGCGCGCTTGGCATCATTAGCCTCAGCCGCCTTGTTCTGGTTGCGGATGCGCTCGTTGCGCGTCTTCTCAAACGTGTCGTAGTTGCCCTGTTGGTGTTGGTGTTGGTGCCAGGCAGCAGGGCACACGTGGAGACGTGCAATGGAAGAGGGAGTTAGTAGGAGCGCAACTGCCAGATGACAGGTGAGTTTTCTCACAAGTGTGCCATAGTTGCCAAGTTAGTGCATCAACAAGCGGAGGGAGGAAGGCACGCAATGGGTTGATTGATGCACAGCTGAAAGACCGTGCAAGCTGGGGTGCACCAGCTATTGGGGCAAGGCTTAAAGCAACACAGCATCATTGTGCAGGTGAACAACGTCCGTGACAACAGTGTTGAGGAAACCCCCCTGGTATGGCACGCAACAGTGCTTCCCCACCACCACTGCACCTATGAGTCCTGAGCTTCTGGTTGCATGCCAGAGCAGCATGGACGTTGTAGGTGGTGAGCTTCTGGTTGTGCAGGTGAACGATGTGCGTGACAACGGTGTTGAGGAACGCTCTAGCATGGCGCACACAGTGCTATTCACGACACTGCTCCCTCCCCAGCATAGACCTTGTGTGTGAGAGAGCGAGTGCGTGCCAGCACGGACCTTGTAGCAAGTGAGCTTCTGGTTGTGCAGGCGAACAATGTTTGTGACAACGGTGTTGGGGAGCCCCCCCCCTCCTAGTATGGTGCACAGCAGTGCTTTCCATGATGGAGCTTCACAACACCGACCTTGTGAGTACGTGACTGGCAGTACCCACCTTGTAGCATGTGAGCTTCTGGTTGTGCAGGTGAACAATGTCCGTGACAACTGTGTTGAGGAACTCGCGCGCATGGGACACCACCACCAGCGTCTTGGGCCACGTCAGCAAATGATCCTCCAACCACAACACCGCGTGCAGATCCAGATGGTTCTGGGGGGAGGGGAGGAAGGGGAAGGGGAGACAGGAGAAAGGAGGGAGCGTGGCGGGCAAGTGAGTAAGAGGCTTGGGGCACGTGAGCAGATGGCCCTCCAACCACAACACCGCGTGCAGGTCCAGATGGTTCTGGGGGGAACAACATTAAGGGATGGAAAGGGCAATAAGGAAAGGGGAAGGGCGGAAGAGCAAGTAACAGCCTTGGGCCATTAGCGCCTTGGGCCAAGACAGCAGATGGTCCTCCTGCCATAGCACCACATGCAATACAAATGGCTCTGGAAGCATAGGGGCACGGAGGAAACGGAAATGGGGGAAGGAGGCGAACGGGGAAGACGCGGAGGGGAGAGCAAGGGGAGCGAAAGGGACCATGGAGCGCACGTGAGCAACGGGCTTGCAGCAGCCCAGCAAACACGTCTCACTGCACCCAAATGCGCAACCCATCCACCGTGGGTTGGTCCAAAAGCAGCAGGTGGGGCTGGATGAAGAGCGCGGGCTGGGACAGCAGTCACAACACAACACTTGCATGATGACTCGACAGAATTAGCCCCACTACACGCAGCTGCTGAGCTCACCGCGGGTTCGACCAGCAGCAGCAGGTGGGGCTGGATGAAGAGCGCAGCTTGGGTGAGGAACAACACAGTGGGCCATTGCTCCCGGTGCAGTGCATGCATAATGACTCCACAACATCAGCCTCACTCCACTCACCGTGGGTTCGTCCAGCAGCAGCAGGTCAGGCTGGATGAAGAGCGCAGCTTTGATTATTGGTCACGATGCATGCATGACTTGACAAAGCCACCCCCACTGCATCCAAGTCCTCCACTCACCGTGGGTTCATCCAGCAGCAGCAGGTCGGGCTGGATGGAAGCAAGCCTTGCTTCATCGTTCCCAATGCATGCATGGTGACCAATGAACTATGAATTTTATTCTTCTGTGAGTGACCCAATCCTGACTCGACTCACCGTGGGTTCATCCAGCAGCAGCAGGTCGGGCTGGATGAAGAGGGCACGGGCGAGGGAGACTCGCATGCGCCACCCTCCTGAGAAGGTCCTTGTCGCTCGATTCTGCATGTCCTTTGTGAAACTCAGACCCTGCCAAGCCAACACAAGAGGGACGCATGGGCACATGGGGAGGGGGACGTGGGGACATGAGGTTAGTTGAGGCGCCTCTGAAGAGGGAATCATCACAGAGCCTCAGAAAGAGGGAGAGTCGCATGTGCCACCCTCCTGAGAAAGAAGGTCCGCATGGCGCGGCTCTGCATGTCGTTGCTGAAGCTCAGGCCCTGCCGAGACAAGAGGGACGCATGGGCACGTGAGGAGTGGGACGAGGGGACATGAGGTTAAATGAGGCGCTTCATAAAAGGGGATATTTACAACGTCTCACTCGCATCCATCACCCTCCTGAGAAGGTCCACGTGGCACGGCTCTCCATGTCGTTGCTGAAGCTCAGGCCCTGCCGAGACAAGAGGGACGCATGGGCACGTGAGGAGTGGGACGAGGGGACATGAGGTTAAATGAGGCGCTTCATAAAAGGGGATATTTACAACGTCTCACTCGCATCCATCACCCTCCTGAGAAGGTCCGCGTGGCACGGCTCTCCATGTCCTTGCTGAAGCTCAGACCCTACTGAGGGAAGAGGGGACGTGGGGGGCGGGGGATGGGGACATGAGGTTCCTTTAGGCGCCTCAGAGAAAGGGGTGTTTACAGGGTCTCATAAAACAGGACGACGTGCATCCGCCACCCTCCTGAGAAGGTCCGCGTGGCACAGCCCTGCGTGTCGTGTCCTTGCTGAAGCTCAGACCCTGCCGTGACACTGAGGGTGTGGGGGAGGGGGGAGGCTGTGAGCATGCGGGGATTCCATCCAGCGGGGATTCCATCCAGCGGGGATTCCATCCAGCGGGGATTCCATCCAGCGGGGATTCCATCCAGCGGGGATTCCATCCAGCGGGGATTCCATCCAGCGGGGATTCCATCCAGCGGGGATTCCATCCAGCGGGGATTCCATCCAGCGGGGATTCCATCCAGCGGGGATTCCATCCAGCGGGGATTCCATCCAGCGGGGATTCCATCCAGCGGGGATTCCATCCAGCGGGGATTCCATCCAGCGGGGATTCCATCCAGCGGGGATTCCATCCAGCGGGGATTCCATCCAGCGGGGATTCCATCCAGCGGGGATTCCATCCAGCGGGGATTCCATCCAGCGGGGATTCCATCCAGCGGGGATTCCATCCAGCGGGGATTCCATCCAGCGGGGATTCCATCCAGCGGGGATTCCATCCAGCGGGGATTCCATCCAGCGGGGATTCCATCCAGCGGGGATTCCATCCAGCGGGGATTCCATCCAGCGGGGATTCCATCCAGCGGGGATTCCATCCAGCGGGGATTCCATCCAGCGGGGATTCCATCCAGCGGGGATTCCATCCAGCGGGGATTCCATCCAGCGGGGATTCCATCCAGCGGGGATTCCATCCAGCGGGGATTCCATCCAGCGGGGATTCCATCCAGCGGGGATTCCATCCAGCGGGGATTCCATCCAGCGGGGATTCCATCCAGCGGGGATTCCATCCAGCGGGGATTCCATCCAGCGGGGATTCCATCCAGCGGGGATTCCATCCAGCGGGGATTCCATCCAGCGGGGATTCCATCCAGCGGGGATTCCATCCAGCGGGGATTCCATCCAGCGGGGATTCCATCCAGCGGGGATTCCATCCAGCGGGGATTCCATCCAGCGGGGATTCCATCCAGCGGGGATTCCATCCAGCGGGGATTCCATCCAGCGGGGATTCCATCCAGCGGGGATTCCATCCAGCGGGGATTCCATCCAGCGGGGATTCCATCCAGCGGGGATTCCATCCAGCGGGGATTCCATCCAGCGGGGATTCCATCCAGCGGGGATTCCATCCAGCGGGGATTCCATCCAGCGGGGATTCCATCCAGCGGGGATTCCATCCAGCGGGGATTCCATCCAGCGGGGATTCCATCCAGCGGGGATTCCATCCAGCGGGGATTCCATCCAGCGGGGATTCCATCCAGCGGGGATTCCATCCAGCGGGGATTCCATCCAGCGGGGATTCCATCCAGCGGGGATTCCATCCAGCGGGGATTCCATCCAGCGGGGATTCCATCCAGCGGGGATTCCATCCAGCGGGGATTCCATCCAGCGGGGATTCCATCCAGCGGGGATTCCATCCAGCGGGGATTCCATCCAGCGGGGATTCCATCCAGCGGGGATTCCATCCAGCGGGGATTCCATCCAGCGGGGATTCCATCCAGCGGGGATTCCATCCAGCGGGGATTCCATCCAGCGGGGATTCCATCCAGCGGGGATTCCATCCAGCGGGGATTCCATCCAGCGGGGATTCCATCCAGCGGGGATTCCATCCAGCGGGGATTCCATCCAGCGGGGATTCCATCCAGCGGGGATTCCATCCAGCGGGGATTCCATCCAGCGGGGATTCCATCCAGCGGGGATTCCATCCAGCGGGGATTCCATCCAGCGGGGATTCCATCCAGCGGGGATTCCATCCAGCGGGGATTCCATCCAGCGGGGATTCCATCCAGCGGGGATTCCATCCAGCGGGGATTCCATCCAGCGGGGATTCCATCCAGCGGGGATTCCATCCAGCGGGGATTCCATCCAGCGGGGATTCCATCCAGCGGGGATTCCATCCAGCGGGGATTCCATCCAGCGGGGATTCCATCCAGCGGGGATTCCATCCAGCGGGGATTCCATCCAGCGGGGATTCCATCCAGCGGGGATTCCATCCAGCGGGGATTCCATCCAGCGGGGATTCCATCCAGCGGGGATTCCATCCAGCGGGGATTCCATCCAGCGGGGATTCCATCCAGCGGGGATTCCATCCAGCGGGGATTCCATCCAGCGGGGATTCCATCCAGCGGGGATTCCATCCAGCGGGGATTCCATCCAGCGGGGATTCCATCCAGCGGGGATTCCATCCAGCGGGGATTCCATCCAGCGGGGATTCCATCCAGCGGGGGATTCCATCCAGCGGGGATTCCATCCAGCGGGGATTCCATCCAGCGGGGATTCCATCCAGCGGGGATTCCATCCAGCGGGGATTCCATCCAGCGGGGATTCCATCCAGCGGGGATTCCATCCAGCGGGGATTCCATCCAGCGGGGATTCCATCCAGCGGGGATTCCATCCAGCGGGGATTCCATCCAGCGGGGATTCCATCCAGCGGGGATTCCATCCAGCGGGGATTCCATCCAGCGGGGATTCCATCCAGCGGGGATTCCATCCAGCGGGGATTCCATCCAGCGGGGATTCCATCCAGCGGGGATTCCATCCAGCGGGGATTCCATCCAGCGGGGATTCCATCCAGCGGGGATTCCATCCAGCGGGGATTCCATCCAGCGGGGATTCCATCCAGCGGGGATTCCATCCAGCGGGGATTCCATCCAGCGGGGATTCCATCCAGCGGGGATTCCATCCAGCGGGGATTCCATCCAGCGGGGATTCCATCCAGCGGGGATTCCATCCAGCGGGGATTCCATCCAGCGGGGATTCCATCCAGCGGGGGATTCCATCCAGCGGGGATTCCATCCAGCGGGGATTCCATCCAGCGGGGATTCCATCCAGCGGGGATTCCATCCAGCGGGGATTCCATCCAGCGGGGATTCCATCCAGCGGGGATTCCATCCAGCGGGGATTCCATCCAGCGGGGATTCCATCCAGCGGGGATTCCATCCAGCGGGGATTCCATCCAGCGGGGATTCCATCCAGCGGGGGATTCCATCCAGCGGGGATTCCATCCAGCGGGGATTCCATCCAGCGGGGATTCCATCCAGCGGGGATTCCATCCAGCGGGGATTCCATCCAGCGGGGATTCCATCCAGCGGGGATTCCATCCAGCGGGGATTCCATCCAGCGGGGATTCCATCCAGCGGGGATTCCATCCAGCGGGGATTCCATCCAGCGGGGATTCCATCCAGCGGGGATTCCATCCAGCGGGGATTCCATCCAGCGGGGATTCCATCCAGCGGGGATTCCATCCAGCGGGGATTCCATCCAGCGGGGATTCCATCCAGCGGGGATTCCATCCAGCGGGGATTCCATCCAGCGGGGATTCCATCCAGCGGGGATTCCATCCAGCGGGGATTCCATCCAGCGGGGATTCCATCCAGCGGGGATTCCATCCAGCGGGGATTCCATCCAGCGGGGATTCCATCCAGCGGGGATTCCATCCAGCGGGGATTCCATCCAGCGGGGATTCCATCCAGCGGGGATTCCATCCAGCGGGGATTCCATCCAGCGGGGATTCCATCCAGCGGGGATTCCATCCAGCGGGGATTCCATCCAGCGGGGGATTCCATCCAGCGGGGATTCCATCCAGCGGGGATTCCATCCAGCGGGGATTCCATCCAGCGGGGATTCCATCCAGCGGGGATTCCATCCAGCGGGGATTCCATCCAGCGGGGATTCCATCCAGCGGGGATTCCATCCAGCGGGGATTCCATCAGCGGGGATTCCATCCAGCGGGGATTCCATCCAGCGGGGATTCCATCCAGCGGGGATTCCATCCAGCGGGGATTCCATCCAGCGGGGATTCCATCCAGCGGGGATTCCATCCAGCGGGGATTCCATCCAGCGGGGATTCCATCCAGCGGGGATTCCATCCAGCGGGGATT